TTATATTTAAATTTTAAAGCAAGTTATGAGTATTTTAAGATGCACAAAAAATTTACAATTTTAAAATACTCGTAACTCGCTTTAAATGTAATATATAATAAAAAACATATGAAGTTGTCTAGATAACAATCTTTCCTTTAAATTTTATCGGAAGTCAGTTCACTCTAATTTTTAAGCTGACGGAGCTACTCGTGTTCTGCTGAACGTAAAATGTACTATATAATGCACTTGTAAGACGGAGACAACACACGCGGGGTATCACATCTTCTTAACAAATATTAATATACGAGGGTGGTTCAAATATGATCGAGACAAACGCTTTAGATGGCGCGCATGTATGTTTTGAAGGTCGTGGCTTTTGTATGTGATAGCTAGGTCTCATACGAACAGTGTGGCATTGTTTTCGTCCGATCACGTGTTTCACGCGTGTGCTACGACCATGAGTGAACGTCAAATGCCGACTGCCGTTGCGCAACGTGTTATCATTCGTTTTTTAGTGGGAGAAGACGTTAAAAACACGGATATTATTTTTCTGCGTTTGCAAAAGCAGTTCAGTAGTGAGTGCCTGAGTAGGGCTGCCGTGTTTAAATGGATCAAATCATTCAAGGATGGCCGCAAAACCGTCGATAATGAGCCGCATGATCGTCGACCGCGAACCAGAGTCACACCAGACAACATTTGCCATGTTCTGGGACCGGCAGGGCGTGCTGTACGTCGATTTCCTGTGCACTCAACGTACCATCAATGTTGCATACTACTCTAACCTTCTGAAAACATACGTGAAACCCGCTTATCGCTAGAAACGGAGGAGCATTCCAGCACGAAGTGCGATTMTCYTCCAGGATAACGCGCGCCCTCATACCGCGCGTCTCACGCTCGATACAATATCGAAATTGGGGTGGAAGGTACTGGAACACCCCCCTACAGTCCGGATTTATCGCCCTGCGACTACCACATGTTTGGACCACTGAAAGAGGCCCTCGGAGGTCAAAAGTTCAACACCAACGACGAGGTAGAGGGGTTTGTGCGCACATGGCTGTCCGAGTTGCCTTAGGAATTTTTCGATACCGGTATCAAAAAACTTTCCGAAAGGTGGACAAAAATTTTCGGAAAGGTGGACAAAATGTATAAATATTGAGGGGAATTACCTAGAAAAAATGTGATTTTTGTCTCGATCATATTTGAACCACCCTCGTAATTCTTGTTTTAATTGGTAATTTGAAGTTGTTATAAAAATCAACATTTTTAGAAAAAATATTTGTTTACTTTCTATCGTTATAGCTATAATTTTTACTCTTTAAACTACGGTAAAACAATTTAATTTCATATTCCAAAATAGAATATTCTTTTGATAATTTCAAAATATTTTAAATGTTAAATTTTTCAACATAATAGTTAATAAAAGAAACAAAAAATTCACTCTATTGTATATGTTAAGTTTAAATGAGTCGGTTATTGTAAAGTGTAGATGTTGTGTAAAATTAGAATATTGTACTGTAACCAAAAATCTAAAAAATACTGTAAAATTAACTGGAAAACGAAAAATTTTAAAAGCAACAATATCATAAATAAAACTTGGTAATAATGTAGGCTAGTTTATCGTCTTTGTCAGAACTGTTTTTCGTATAGAATCATATTAATCATTGAAATCAAATTTAATAGGTACCCATATTACGAGTATAGCCACCCGGGTATATTTCAATTACGCCAGAAATCACAGTTAAGGAAAAAAAATTATGGTATTCAAAAAGGTTATACGTCAACTGCGCCGGACGATATTTAGGTCTAAAAAAGATTATACATTAATTGCGCCGGCAATACTGAAGTTGAAAAATAAGCTGATTACACACTAGGCGATTTGAACGTACTCGTCTGCGTTTATATTACACACGGACGATTTAAAATCGATTTTAATTTTTATGATTTAATTTTATGAAATTTTTATATTTTTACACTTTATTTTATATGTTTGATAATTATATTATAATCTAATAATAGTATAATAATATAAAATTTTATAATATCTTTTTCGCACAATAGATATATATTATGTATACCAAATTAATTTGTGATAAATTTATTGGTGCAAAAGACGTATACCTTTTTTGTTTGGGATAATTCCACCGGCGCAAAAGATGTATAAATTTCAGGTAGTCTAGAAAAATCGGCGCAATTGACAAACTCCGAGCCACCCACAGGACACCTACTATAAGAGCCGTACTCGTCCTAACCCACTTTTTTTCTCGATGAATTTAAGGAATTTAATATTTTTACCTCTCCAAAATATCAACTAGATCAAATACTCAGCTATCAAGAAGCACCCCCAAAGTTAAATATCAAAGCATTATTTCGGCTACTTATCATATATACATAATACATTATCGAAAAAAACATAATGTTGTAATATCAATTCATCATTGATCAAATTAGAATTTAAAATGTATAATTATATATACACATTAATACATTATATATACATTTTAGTGAATAAGGTTAAAGGTTTGGAAACACTGCAAGGTTGAATAATTATTTATAATTATAAATGAATATTAAAATGATATACTATTATGCAAAATAGTAAAATGATATGATACCATTATAATGGGCACTGCTATACCATTTTCCATTTCATATACAACATAACTTAGAATGAATAAAGGAAAAATATGTGAGTTCACTCACGCCGGCGCTAAACCACAAGTTTTGTAAGGTGTAGAAACCTACTGACAAACTAATTCAATCTCAATATTTATGTTTTTTACTGTAGTACCTTCACTGGGAGGCTTCTACTCTCTGTTATCTCTATCTATAAGTTTTTATTTTAATTTTTTTATTACTATAATCTATTATTTCCTCGGTTATTCTTATTGTTCTTTTTTGCAACAGATTGAATAAAACATTGTAAAAACAAAAAAAGTTCACTCACATGCAATAGATAGGTAATTTAATTATTTTAAATACCTACTGGAAGTTTTTGCTACTTAAGTTTAAAAAAGTCTGGCGTAAAATTACACACATTTTTAAAGAATGTTCAAAATTCAAATTTTGAAGATAATGAATAATATTCTAATTAGTAATTTACAATGTATTTTGTTATTCTTCAAAAATATTATTCGTAAAAATTTAAAATATTTTACCATTACTTAAATTATTACAATGAGATTTTTACAATCAAAGTATTACATTATATTATTATTATTATTATTACCTATACAAATTTTAAGCTATTTATTGGCATTTAAAATTTTAAAATGTATTAATTTATTTTCCATAATTGGCTACAAATGTTATTAATGTTTATGCTCTATCAAAAAGTTTGAAAATTTAATACAATGTTTACTATAAGTTTTACTTATAGAAATTTAAAAAATGTTAATGTATATTTATTATTTATATTCAATTAGTGTCTCTAAGTTCAAATTATGGCGAAAAATTTCGCGTGGAAATCACGACATTTTCTAATTATTTTTAACTACAATTTATAAGTTAATATAGTTTTTTAATTTAAATACTATATGTTTGACAAATTAAAACAAAGTTCCTCGTTAGTTTTTACAGAAACCTAAACATTTTAAAAATACAAAACAATTTTTTCTTGAGCGTTTTTTTTTCAATTTAAACTTCAAATATAGGTATACGAATCTACGAATATATCAGAAAAATATTTTTATTGGTAATATAAATAATTTATAATGTACAATAATATATAATATACAATTTTATTTATTTATTTAATATATGTAAGTTTCTCGATAAGTTTTTATTTATATTTTCAGACTAGGTTGTTTTAAGCTTGTCTAAAAAAAATGTATTCATCAATTTTCCATTTATTTTTCTATAATTAATTTAAACTAATAGTCGTCTTAATGTACAACATTGCATGATTAAAATTGATAAAAGCATAATTGTGGTTCATAATTTCGATTATAAATGGTCCCGACTGACAAGGAAAACACAACCCATACTAACTTTTTTGAATATTCGTGATCTAAATTCACTCATTTTTTTTTATTCCGACTTAAATAAAGATATTAAATTTTAATTTTAAAATATACGTAACGTATACACTTAAAATGAGAATATATAACGAAATATACACCAACATTTCAAAAAAATATAAAATTAAAAAAATMTTTGGACTCCTATTATTATTAAACAGATATCTGTATCCCTAAGCTATGTTTTGAATGAATATTAGACACAGACTTCTATACTTACTAGATAAGTAACTCTTATAATATTTACATTGTTATCAGTGAAGCTCACACGGGGATGACCGCCATCTTTTCGGTTGGCAAAACATTGGTTGGCTGCATATACAAAATGTATAAGGAATAAATGAAATTATAAATTTTTTAAAGGTGGTATATAACAATAATGACAAAATGATCTATATAAAATAATTTGTTTTTGTTACAAACAACAAGTCTAGAAATAATAAAATACAATACAACATCAATTAATATTTATCATAAATACATATATAATATTGCATACTAATTTCCAACCGAGAAATGGCGGAACCCGGCTTCAACTAATGCACGGAGTTACTTATCTAGTTATTATAGAAGTCTGTGGTTTTAGAAGGCATGCAAATGTCTATAAGTTCTTAACCTTATATGTATTTATAATTTCGACCTTCTCAAATCTTCTCGGAATACGCAAAATCTTTTTTTGCTATACCTTATGTTTTTGTAAGACAAAGACAAAACATGCATGCGAGTATAGCGTCCTCTTAATACTATTATAGATGTATAGTACTTTTTCTAATAAATAATCGAATTATTTGATTTTGACTTTATCATTGACATTCATAATAGTTAACATAGTAATAATTCAACTTAGAATGTATCTATTTAATACTTACATTGTATCTCAATCTCAAAGTAATTTGTATTGTTATAATACACTCTTCATTCTTATATTTATATATATAATAATAACATGTTAACTGTTGTTATAACTTTTGAAAAAATAATTTTTTTTTAAATATATTTCAGTTTCACCAAACATCTATAGCAAAAATGTTGACTTACATAGACGTGCATTTTATTTACACCCTGCCTGTCGTCGCAGTATTGGCGTTGATAACATGGCCATTTATAAGTCGCTTAGAACTGTTCAAAATCGGATTCATCTGTACAATGGCATTTTTGTACACGACACCATGGGACAATTATATAATCTTCCACAACGCCTGGATGTACAAGCCCAAAAACATTTTAGCCGTCATAGGATATGTGCCCGTCGAAGAGTACATGTTTTTCGTCATACAAACCATTATGACATCACTGTGGGCCTTGGTTTGTACCAGGTGGTCTCCGGCTTGCTTCAGTTTCAATTTCAATAAGACAAGCTACACGATGATCCGATGGATACCGATATTAGTCTTAGCTTTGACGACAATTCAGGGCTACAACATAGCTACACCGGGTAAAGACACGTTCTATTTGGGCTGCATCATGTGGTGGTCGTGCCCGGTCATAATGTTCCTATGGTACGGTGCCGGTAATTACTTTGTCAAAAAGTCAACGTCGACAACAATTGCGATAATTGTTCCCACTTTGTACCTGTGTTGGGTCGATCGCATAGCACTCAAAGATGACGTATGGCACATCAATGAGAAAACCTCGTTGAACATATTCGTCGCCGATGATTTACCGTTCGAAGAATGTCTGTTCTTCCTGATCACCAACGTGATAATCGTCCTGGGCAGCATGGCTTTCGACAAGTCCTACGGGCTTGCGGACACGTACACTTCCGAGTTTCCATTCCGTTACAGACCAAGTTGGAAATACTACAGTCAGCAAATGCTGCCTTTCGTGACGGCCGAATGCGATATGTCACCGAGTCCAGTCAATGACATCAGACAGTGTTTAAACGTACTTAAAACGGCTTCCAAATCATTCAACGCGGCCAGTCTCGTTTTTCCAGCAGGTATCCATTATACTGTATAGGTATAAATATTTTGTTTAGAACATGATCTAATATTGAAAATTTTTTTATTTTCAAATCCTAGAGTTATTGTTATGTTTACATATCCAAAATAGACGAAACAATATCTTTATATTATTTATATATATTTCACTTCGATTACCTAAATAAAAGCGTTGTCAATATCGAAACTGCTAGAGCTAGCTTATCCCCAAATATTTTAACGTTAGTTGTATTATTTATATCTCACATAAATATGATTATACTGTATTATTACAAGATGTTTGATGTAATGTATACGTGTATTAAAAAATTTTCAGTTATGTGTATTTATCACTTTAATAGCTGGTTAATTTTTAACGGTAGATAATAAATGTTTAATAAGTATACATAGTTTATACTAATTTTCTAAATATATTACTATACCAAATTGTCAGGAATATAGCAGTACTTACTGTAGCTGGTATATCTACATATCTGTTGCGTGCGTACGTTTATACACAAATGTATGATGAAATTTTTTATATATCCACGTAACTCATATGTATATTATATATATGCAAATGATGATATGGTATATATATTATATATCCTCTTTCAAACTTTTTTAACACTATGTATTTATTGTACAATAAAGAACCATTAAATGAAGGTCCTTGGAAATAATTATTTGTCTTTTATTAATATTATATTATACTTATTTTAATTTTACCTTTACTTTCTTTGGATAATAATGTTCCTATATATAGATACATTCAATTTGAAAGTTCCAAAAACCTTCCTAAAACGGTTCTACAAAAATAAAAATAACAATTGGTGGTCACTGATGTGCGTTATCTTTTTTGCAGGAGTCCGTTTACATTTGATCATACTATACGCGTTTTGTCGGGTGACGGACGATATGATCGACAGCGAGCCAAACATTGGTATCAAGAAGCGGAAACTCACGCTGATTAAAGATTTTATAGGCGAACTGTTCGCGGATAGAAACTCGGACTACGACGTGAAAACATCGATGACTTCGGGAAACCCAAAATTGGATTGGAAACGTTACCGCATTGAGCTAACTGACGAGGAGCTGTCGTGCTTTCGGGCCATATCTCGGATATCATTTTACCTGCCCCGTAAACCATTTTACGAGCTGCTCGATGGCTACCARTGGGACGTGGACGGAAAAATGGTTCACAACGAGACCGACCTGCTGTTATACTCGAGTTACGTGGCTGGAAGCGTAGGAACGCTGTGCGTGTACGTAATGGTATACAAAAGTGGTGTAGAGATCGACGATGATGAAAAGCACGATTTCGTTATCAGAAAAGCACAACAGATGGGACAGGTGAGAGCGCACATGACAAATATTGTATATTTAAAGGGTGATTCTTGAAGCATGCTCACGTCCATTATTCTTTAATAATGAATTAATTTAAATTATGATGTTTGGAATTTTAAAATATACTTACAYATAAGAAGTGTAAATGTGTCATGTGGTAGACAAACTTCTATTTTGCAAATGAGAACCTCATCCTTTTTACTCAACTTACATTATTTAGAGGATTATTTTTTTGAAAATGTTTGTGAACCTCCTTAGTTTAAAATTAAGAATAGTTTCTCATTTATTAAAGTATTTCACATAAAGAATTATTATCCTTCGAAACCGTTTTACAAAATTATAAAATATATGTAATAGTGTATCTAATGATTTATTATTATATACTTGAACTTTCATTTTTACAAATAATTATAAATGTTGATAGATTGTTATTAATTCCTAATTTTTTTTAAATACTCCACTATCATGATTTATAAATTATAACTTATRTATTAAACAAATATCACAGTAATAAAAAACACGTTACCAATTGTATTTAAGAAATAAATATTATAAAAATGACTTGTCAATCGACGTATAATATTTACAAAAAAAAAGAGAGTTACCTACGAATTACCTATTTATATCATACTTGTATATGATATGATGTTTATAACCCTATATTACTTAATATTTATATATTATATAGTCATATAGATAATTATAGATATCAACACACGCATATTCCGAGCATTCAATTTTATCGAAAAATTGTTTTCGCATACTCAAAGGGGGTACTCTAAACGTAATAGGGGGGCTTAATCTGAATCCTCCTCCCGCGAGGTATTTCATAACTTAACCTCGTGAGCATAATAAACTATTTTAACACACCGTGATTAGTCTCTCCAGATTTTCAACCAAATTTACGCTTATATGATGCACTGACCACACTACATCTTCCATGCTTATTTATATGCCGCAGGTGCTGCAGATCGTCAATATTTCTCGGGACATCGTCACCGACAGCGAGACGCTAGGCCGGTGCTACGTGCCCACCGAGTACATGGATGACGCAACCGCGGACGTGAACACTCTGTGCCGCGACAGGGACGCGTGGACCCTAGGCTCCGATAAACTGAAAACGTACGCCACGCGCATGATCAGGCTGGCCAACCAGTACCAGTTGGAGTCTCTGGAGGGTATCCGGTACCTGCCGTACGAGGTGCGTGGGCCCGTGCTGGTGGCCACCGACATCTACCGKGGCGTGGCCTGTGCGGTGGAGGCTAGCCCGACGTACCCGAGGAGGGCGTCGCTGAGCAAGTGGGAAAAGATCCTCGTCGGCATCAATTCGCTGTACTTCAAGAGCCTGAGATACTTTTTCCAAGCCGAACGCTGCAAACGCTGTTGACGCGACACTGATATAAGCCACACTGCGAAAATTGCACCACCACCAGTGCCGCCGCGGCCTTCGAATGCGCCTGCTGCATTCATGATGCATTCCCCCGATCCACTGCAAATTGCAATATATTATGTTAACCACCGCGCGAAAAAGAAATATACCTATTACACCTAACAACATTCATTTTTATTTTGTTCAATGAAAATTTCATTTATATTATGTATAATTTCACTATTTTTAACTTTTCTATAATTCTTTCATTTTTTAAATAATTGGGACCAAATAATACACTTTTTTAAGACGTTTAACAACAGACATYGAATATCGAACCAATAGTGTTGACACGATATACATAACCTTTCAAAACTTAGATGATTGTGTAGACTAATACAACAAAGTGTAATGCATTGCTTTGCAGCTCGTCCAAATTATGACTAATTGCTTATTTATTTATTTATTAGAAAAAAACGTAAGTTTTATTAATTGTTAATTTTTTATTATTTGTACGTTGGACTTTTTGTTTTAATAATCAAATCTTCTTCGTATTAAAAAACCCTCAAAATCATTACGAAATAAAAAATAAAAATATTAGATATTGTTTGGTATACCTATGCTAATAGTACCTACCTAGTACCTATAAAAATGAATACACTTAATTTTCATAATCCAAAAAACTGACTTGGAAATCGAGTGTGTACCACTGTTTAATGGGTCACTCTGTATATTTTTTTTTATTGAAATTTTAACCAAACATCCAGTCTGTATACGTGGGTATTTTAAAAATTATACATTGATTCATTATAATTTATTTATTCATTTTTCAGCGAATAAAATAATTAATAGTTGACTATTTAGCAGTTTTAACTGCTATATCTACTGGTACCTACCTATATGCATTATATTTTATGTTAATATACATACAGGTTTAAGCATAGAGTAGGTATACATAAGTTATATAAGAATTGTTGTAAATGCCGTTAAAACTGTACTTATATRCTATTATGCAATACAATTGTATCTACAAAATGCAGAAATATTAATATAATGCTTGTTTAATGTATATATTACCTATATAATATTATGCGTTTAAACACGAAACTATATTAATTACATTTCATCGCAACAATGCAACTTCCGCATGCGTGTTATATTCCATATTTATGTTTTTGCATCAAGTACCTACGTAGACATGAGGAAATACATTTCTAGCTATAAGTACCTATAATAGCTGTATGTATATTGTATATACGTATTACCTCCTACAACATGATAAATGCTATAATTTTTTTTTTGTACCCATATGATAATAATTATGATATTATTGTACTACCTAACCGTTTTGTTTCTCTCACGGCCATTGTAATATATAATTTATCATACATTGTGTTTATAATATTTATGTTATATGATATTCTTGACCTACCATAATAACTAACTAGGTTTTCAACTTTACATTTGACCGAGATTGATACAAGATTGTATTGGTTTCACAACGATTTTTTTTTTTGTGTCTGGTTACATGTGTCATGAAATTTGTGTTATACAATAGCAGGAAAAAAGACTTCGATCTCCAACTTTGAGGGGGAGGTTTCTGATGGAAATTTAAATCTCTTTGCTACTTTTTGGAAGGTCAAAAACTCCCAATACTTTAAAAAAAAAACAATACCAAAATTAGGTATAGCATGTATAACATGTTTTTGACAAAAATTTAGTGTTTTTGTTGTAATTTAATTAAGTTTATTTTTTTAAATGAAAAACTGTTGACTTGAAATTTTTACCTAAATATTTATATTAGCGTTTAAAGACATAATTATGCAATTTTGTATCTTTTTATACTATAAATCGATGTTTGAAATTTTTGGCTTTTTTAGTTTATATTTGAATGATCAACATTTAAAACGAGGTTCCTCATTAATTAGGTAGTTCTCACTAAAACCTAAAAGCCTAAAAAAATTGTATTAATAGTTTTTTTTAATATAAAAAATTGAAGTTACATTTTTTATGAAATTGGATATTCAAACAAAAAATAATGATTTAAGTTCTTTTTGTAATTTAAAAATTCACAAAACTTTTATACCTATATTGTTATAAATATTTTATTATTCACAATGGTGTTTACAAAATATTTAAGTTAATTTCAAAGTATTGCCTTTTTATACCAGGAATTTATTGACACCGTTCTATATGGTAAGGTACCGACTTAAGTTAGTTTAGATTTAAAAGTTAATAAGTAATAACAATAATATATTATATATATAATATACTATTCGACTATAATAATTATAAATTATTTATAAATAATATATTGAATGCTTATAGGTTTTTGGTAAAAATTAATTTAATCTAGTATATATCAACCGTGTTATTAATAGTAAAATAAATTACAAATAGCAATATAAATCTATAATAGAATAGGTATTAGGTATACGCTTGATAATTGTGGAGTATTTTATACTAGTTACAATCTCCGTTCAAAGCCGTGTTTTTGTTTTGCGATCGTAAGAAATGTTATTAATAATTGAGTTTAAATTACAGTAAACACATATTATTTCAAAAAATAGGWAGGTACTAAAATTTTTAAAAATATTTCTTTATCTAATTTTATTTTTTAAGTCATCCAGTACTAAACATTTTTGAAATTATTCAGGGAGAAAAAGATTTGAAAAGAGACAGATGTACAAGTGTGATGGTAGGAGAGGAACTTTGAAGACAATTTAAGATGGAGAATCGATTTTTATACCTGTGTCTTGTATCAATGATCAACAAGATTGAGGTGAGTGAAGACGGTTTTGGAATGAGAAATATTCGTGTGAAGGGCGAGTGTTATTGTGTCTAAAAAAGAACATTCGAAGGAAGCGTATCTGAACCTTTTCAACCATGGAACTTGCACGYGCAATGGAGGATTCCAGAGAACTAAATGAAAATGACAACTATATTAAAATATTATTATATTCCTAAGTATAGAACATTGTTTTCGGAATATTATAATACATTTACGAATTTCGTTCATTGAACCTAAATATTTTAAGTTTTCAAGATGAGTGGATGTTTGAGTGTTTCTCATTAAATTATCTTACAGTACCGGACTACGCATACATAATACATAATATTATGCACAGTCCGTCATTTTTATATTGAAGCGAGTATTAATTACTGTTACAATTTATTTGATCTACTGAAGTCGGAAGTGGTACCACTGGATACCAACTTCGCCCATACTACAACTCTACTAATGAAAGAATAGAACACTCCGAACACTTAACACAACTGCTTGTTGTAACTTTTTACATTTATTGCATAACAGGTTATTGATTTCAAATAAAAAATATAATTTATTTGGTGTTTATTTTTTGTACCTACTGACATCGTATATATTATATAGGTCGAAAAAATCAATAAGCTCTTTACCTAATTACATGGGAATTATATGGCGTGAATGTTGTTTAAAACTTATCGAAATGTACAAAAAATCATAAAGTCTGGGACGTGGGACCTAGGTTGRTTGCGTGTCAGATACTGTAATAAGTTGAAAAAAAAAATCAATATCGAAACTTGCACGAATATTTTTGGAAATGGAATAGAAATAAAGAATTCAAAATTCAAATAATTTCAAAAATATCAAATATATCAAATAATTGTATATACACAACAGTTACAATACGTTTATTTTATTTTAAATTCATATACATATGAAATACTGGGCCCCACTGAAAATACCCCTGAGGGCCCAGGAAATTATTTAATATACATTTTATACCGACATTTTTTAATTTGAAATTCAAAATTAGAATTAACAATTTTGATTGAGTGTAATCAATGTATTGATTTTACATTGAGTTTTTATAAGTAATAAGTATGTCTGAAGACACTTGATCAGTATATTCTAGTATATAAATGCTCTGGTTATCGGTTATCAATATAGATAGAGATTTATAGTAGCGAATTGGATTTAGTTGGTGGCTTGGTGCTTTGAGAAAGAAGAAAAAGCAATTTAATACATTGAATTGAAATTTATAAACTTAATACCCCAAAGTCTTGAGAGATAATAATATAATCAGCAATACCTCTTTTAAAAAATAAATATGTTATAGTATTATCATTATTATTGGGTAAATAAAAAATGGTCTTAGCATTAAATGTTCAAGATGAAAACAGTTAAAATATTGTCCTGTATTTCAACAACAAACTTAAACACTCATAAATAACATTTTTACCAACAATTAGAATTTCAATTAGAATATCTTATGTACTACGTTTTACGATTGAGTTAAGTTAAATCAGTGAAATTAAATCGGTTTTAAATTGTTTAACTACATAGTASGAGCCTTTTATTGCCATTATTTAAACATAGTAAGTTGTAAAAATGTAAACYATTTTAAAAGTTATAAGTGTWATAACCCTCRCATTATGTAGTTGAGGAATTTAAAACCAATTTAATTTCAAACTGTTTTAAACATAGTAATAGTTCAGTAACAAATGTATTAAATTATAAAATTATATTACTAATACATATAAAATCTTCGGAGATATACTCAATACTTCAATAGCTATTGTTTTTCAGAGCCACATATTGTCTACATATTGAATTAGGTAGATTTCTAAGGATTTTAATTTTTAATCAGTAGATTGAAAAAGCATGTTCATATAAAGTATTTTATTTCTTCACAACTCTCATATTCTGACTTCACCCCTCTGATAAATCTATACTCCACCAAAATGTGGCTCTCTATCTGAAACAATCTACCTGCGACCTTCGCCTCAAGATATAGAACTATTACATTATTAATATCCTAACAAAAAACCGGGTTCAATAACTTACATTTACATATACCATACATTGTTCAATTCAATAGGCTACGCATAGGACATCATCTTCTACCTAGCCACTCATTCAACTTGGCCTAAATGATTCTCCATTTTGTACACTTCACCTAAACTAATGTATCTATGACTTATCACATATTTTATTTGACTGCCCTGCCCTACAGGCCAAACGCCTAATTTTAATTAACRTACTAAAATCTCTTAATATCTATTTTAATATGTATTCCATACTCAGCACAAAATCCACAACTGCCATAAAAATTATTATTTCTTTTATATTGGATGCTTTATTATATAACTTTAAAATGTAATATATAATGTTGTATTATGAATAATTTTATAATTGTTGAGCTATCTT